CAATAGTGATATCAAAGTAGTGGAAGTTATGAGCGAACCATCGGTTAGACCGAAGAAGAAGATTGTCTCACAAACTGTGCTGAATGTGGCCAACGATTTGACCGACTCTATCATCGCTGAAGTGTATTTCAATCTCTCTCAACACGATTTGAATAAATCATCGTTTTATGATCAAAACAATATGTTATAAATGTATCCGTTTTAATGTCATTAATAGTGTGGCTAATAGTGAACTCATATTTACGTTAAACTTATAAAAACTCTCTACTATTTAATAGATTTGATAAAAAAATTAATTTTCCTAATATAATAACTATGTTTGTCATTAATTATCTTGTATTTGATATGAGTTTCAATCTTTCCTTTATATCGTATAATGAATTTGTTGTTATTATTATTAAAAAGTATTTAATTTTAGAAGTTATTATGAATTGAAAGTAATAAAACATTTAATCTATTATGTGATCAAATGTTTATCAAATAAAGTATTTGTAAATTTTATTCAATCGGTGTTTGAAAGTTATTTTTAAATATATTTATTAGAATAATAAAAGGATTTTTGTACAACTTTATTTTAACATATCCTTTATATAATTGAAATAAAAACAATTATAATTATTAATTATAAATATTATGGTTAAGAAACAAATTGTGAGAATAAAAATTATACTCTCATTAAATGAATGCAAAACTAATTGATAAATGAGATTATCTTAAATGTCACATAAATTTCACATTGAAATGATTGATGTTATATTGCAATGTGTTTTAAATGTTATTTTTATTTAATAATATTCACAATATTTCATTTTGACGCCAAGTGTGGCCCAAATAAATGCTAAACATTTTCTAAATATTTATAATAAGAGTTATAATTGTATTAAATTGTTTGCAATTGTATTTTATAAATAGAAATTTAATAGTAATATAAAATAATTGTACTCAACCTTAAAGAAAAATTTAAAATAATAAAAAATCAAAAACGTTTAAAACAAATATTGAAAATATAAATATAAAGAAAATTTTAATAAACAATATAGTTTATTTTTGATGTCATATGAATATAATCTAGGTTTAAGATTTGTTTAAAAATTAAGCAATTGTTGTAATAATTAATAATTGCTTAAAACATAATAGATTTGTCGCCCATTCTGTTATATAATTATGTGTTAATAAAATTATTTAATACAAATCTTGTTGTACATATAATGATTGTTTGAAAAAATACATTTATCAATTTGTTTAAATATTGAAAAATACTGTAATAATCCGAATGAAAATATACAATATAATTGCATTTATAAATAATAATGCAATAGAATAGTGCAAATGTAAAAAGTACTTTAGGATACTATACGATAATTTCTATTATATCCATTTAGTTTAATCACTACTATAAGGTAGTAAACATTGACCATATTGTCCTCAAACTTATTCACTAATTATTTTCTTTCAAAGTAATTACTATTAGCGGACAAATATGTGACAAAATAATAACGCAAATGATATCTAACAACATATAATTTGTTTATCGTATGTTTAGACACTATTATCGCATAGAATATGATTACAACAAACTATTGTCCATAACATCACGTTTGATAATATAAATCCACATTCACTGCATTCACGCAATTTAGTTCATATGAATTACAAACTCTATTACAAACATTGTTAATATCAGCAAAAATGTATTAAATTATTGCAAAATTCTTATTTTGTGTTTTGTTTAAATATTGCTTACATTTAAATATTTTGTATATCTTGTAAATAATTTTCATGTAAAGTTAGCGTACAGTATATGTATTTCTTTAAAACATTGTTTATACAGTGCAACCTCTCCATAGGAAACGGGCAGATGCACAGCCAAAGTGTTTCTTATAGAGAGGGTTTCTTCAAGGGAGGTTTGAGTAAAAATGTCTAATTTTTAATTAATTTTTGAAAGATTTTATTAATAATAGCAATTATTGAAAATAACCAGTAATTTTAGTTTGTTTAGCTGTATTAAAATGAAAATTAAGTTCTTTAATCTTAATTTTGTCCAAATGTTCAAACATTTTATCATCGGATGCATTTCTGGATATAAAATAGGACTTTAGAGTATATATTGATTACAGTATTTAATGAAACTTTAAATGAAAATGTGTTTTTTGTTTGTTTAAAGTCTTAGGTTTGAAAATATTTTGAATACTTTACATATCATGTGCTTATGATTATATTTGTTTCTTATCGGGAGTGGAAGTTTTAGCTTAATCTCTATAAATCCGTTTCTTATGGGGAGGTGTTTCCCCAAGAGAAGTTTCCCTGAGAGAGGTCTTTTTAACATTATAAGTATAGGAAATCCAAAAGAGATTTCAAAANATAAATCCGTTTCTTATGGGGAGGTGTTTCCCCAAGAGAAGTTTCCCTAAGAGAGGTCTTTTTAACATTATAAGTATAGGAAATCCAAAAAAGATTTCAAAACCGTTTCTTATGAAGAGGTGTTTCCCCAAGAGAAGTTTCCCCAAGAGAGGTTGCACTGTATAAGAAAATACTTATGGTGAATTGGATATCATTTCGTATATTATTTCAACGAATAATACAGTACAGTATAATACAATACAACAAATACTTTCACAACTAATCCATTTTGATTCCAGTGTTTGATTATCATTAAGCCGTACAGAAGAAGACCATTGAAACTACATTATTACCAAAATTCTCTCTCTCTCTCTCTCTCTCTCTCTTTCTTTCTTTCTTTCTTTCTTTCTTTCTCTCTCTCTCTCCTCTAAATCTCGTTCTTTAATGCTTTGAATGACACTTAATATTAGTTGTGAGGAAAGGCGAGAATTAGTTGTCTGATTGTAATGTATATTTCAACTAATAGTAATTTTTATCAATTAAATTTGTAATTCCATTGTAATTATTTGAGTATTACAAAAACAAAATAAGTTATTTATAGACCAATTATTGTGAGTATTCAATATTACTGTATATAATTGAGCTAAAAAGTGTTGTGTACTTTACCACGATGATGATGGTTATACGGGTTCATCATTATAACTATCTCTTTATACAGTTAACGCAAAAAGTCTTGCACATCGGGCTTTTCGATCATAATTAATTAATTGTGGTACATAATTAGAATTTTTTTAAAACATCAAGTAGGAATAACATATTTGTTCAAAATTAGTCGCTAAAAACATTGGAAACCATTCACAATTAAAATAAATTCAGAATAATCAATTAATTAGTGCGCAATAAGTCTTGCACCTTTTGATTTTCGGTCAATTAATGGCCATAATATTTACTAAATTCTAAAAAAGTTTTAATAAATCGGTTTATCATATATACAACTATACTTTCGGGGAATAATATTGGTAATTTTGATTATAATTGGCCATCGCCGCCGCATATTCGGTAAAAACTAAATTAGTGTCCATTGCGGTAAATCAGCTGGATTAGAATTCTAAAAAGCTGTCAATTATTTTATAACATAGTAATAAATGAAAATATAATACTTTTAATTAATTTGGGATAACAAAACCCGACCCGAATGCCGATAATACATGTAAACCGAAAAGTTCGGGTAGTTCTTCGGGTCCCCACCACTGACCAGTGATCAATATTACTGTATAAGGGTATGTAATATAACCTTTATATATAATTTAATCAAATGCGATAGAAGAGAATGGTGGCCAATACCATACAAAGGCCCCGCGCGCCATTACCGACATACCTCCGATACCTTGCATAGGATAGCATTATGAAACATTATGAAAAATTTAGAGCATTTTAGAACTCTAATCCAGCTGATTTACCGCAGTGGACACTAATCTAGTTGTTACCGATTATGAGGCGGCGATGGCCAATTATAGTCAAAATTACCATTATTATTATTGGAAAGTTTAGTTGCATATATGATAAACCGATTTATTAAAAAATTTGTTCGAATTCGGTAAATATCTTGGCCATTAATTGACCGAAATTCAAAATGTGCAAGACTTATTGCGCACTAATTAATTAATTATCCTGAATTTATTTTAATTGTGAATGGTTTCCAATGTTTTTAGCGACTAATTTTAAATAAATATGTTATTCGTACTTGATGTTTAAAAAAAATTCGATTTATGCACCACAATTAATTAATTATGAGCTAAAAGCCCGATGTGCATGACTTTTTGCGCTCGCTGTATATGTTGTTTATAAAATCTACTCTAAAAGATGATTGCAATAAGAGTTTTATCAATACATTTATTGATAGATTTGCTTTAAATGAGAGCCGAGTGAAGGAAAGCGTTCAAAAGCTATATAACAGAATGGATGGCAAGAAATTACTAAATGGACTCATTATTTGTCTAACTATTTAGAAACACAATCGTAAAAAAGCCAAAGAATTGTTCAATTATTAGTCCGATTCTGTAGATGTGTGTCGTGTTTGCCTTCATTTATACGATCACTACTGTATGATAGCCTGTAATATCGTATGACTTACTCCTATTAATACCCAGATATATAAATATAAAAACCCAATGAAAGGACTGAAAGTCATAGCAAACAACAAAAAATAAATTTTTATGATATCTCATAAGGAATTATGATTTCCAAACCCCAATGTCGTCGTCAATGAAAGCAAACCATTCAAATGATTTGAAATTTTCGTTTTGCTGCCCAACCATTAAATTGTGTTATATATTATGTGCCGTATTATTGCAGCTATTTGTTTCAATGTATGCTTTTTCAATAAAATATAATGTAATACATAATACACGCTAAATATAGTGGACAAATACAATGTACATTCTTTGGGCACTGAATTGCAATTAAATTTTTGTTTATATGGTTTAGTCCAACGGGTAATGTATGTGCCATAACATAACCACCAAACTATAAAATCTTATTTTTATGTATATTTCTATTCACAAAAAGATTGCATTTTTATTATTTTTTTCTTCCAAAGACTGGATAACAAATGGTATAAAATATTGGATTTTTGTGCTGTATATATCTTATTATACAATATTTTATCACATAATAAATTACAAAATGCTAATTAAGTTGTTTAATACGGAAATATAGATATTTAAAGTAATGAACGCTAGGAATAATATTTTGTTGGTTTGATTTGATTTCGCAATTTAAACCGATTCGCAGGGCTTAGGCTTTGGTGAACCCTATTATTAAAATCATAATCAATTAATTTAAAACCAGTCTTAAACACGTTATAAATGACTCTTAAATAAGATACAGACCTGATAGGAATCGCAAACCAATTTGAGCAAGTTACTTTCGGCCAACTTTTGCATGGCGTCCGAGTGCTGGCCATTGATAGTCACCCATGGAATCCAATTCTCTTTGGGGTCTTAAATAAGATACAGACCTGATAGGAATCGCAAACCAATTTGAGCAAGTTACTTTCGGCCAACTTTTGCATGGCGTCCGAGTGCTGGCCATTGATAGTCACCCATGGAATCCAATTCTCTTTGGGGTCCAAAGCCTCTGTCTGTCCGGCCATGAAGTACTGGAGGGCCAACCCCTCCAACGAGTTGGCGCACGCACTCAGCTCTTTGAAGTCGAGACCCAATTTTTGTGCACACTTTTTGTCAACAGAATAGTAGAGAAAGTGTAAGAAAAAACACACATAAAAGAAAAAAGAGAAAATCAATATTCAATTTGCTTTCGTTTGCGATTCAAACTCCAGCTTTAAATCTAATATTTGGAGATAACAGGCGTTACAACAAAAGGACTATCAGATTAAGTCACTCATCAATCCTTTTTTGCAACGCTATTCTGCCTATACTTTGTTATCCGGGTTTCGCTTTTCACGTAATATTTGTTTCAATTGAACACAACTTTTCAAAAGACAATTTCAAAATAGCAAAAACAATGCATTTTCTCAAACACTGAGTTTGTCTCTGTTTTTTTCTCTAACAAAATACTCTTCAGATAATTGCAAAAAAAGTTTTGTTTTTTGCATAATAATAGGGAAAATACTATTTTCTCATTTACATCACATATTCTCTACTACTACTTGACATTAATGGAAAACAATTGATTTTATACTAAAAACGTTTGTTTAAACTGTTGTTTAAAATTAATGAAGTCATACCTCAGCGCCGGACTTCCAGGGAGTCTTCCAGTCATTTGATGCAAACATACAATTAGTTAAACCCAGACTCCTGTCGATGTCGTACTTGATTACAGCGCAAGACTTGTGGCATAGAATAGGGAAATAAATACAAATAAACAAAAATAAATATAAAATATACAGAATATTGTATTATTATATTGAATGAGATTTTTTCTTTTTTGGTCATATAACAAATTTAGGAGTAATTTTTGGTACAATTTCTGGACACTTATAGAAATGAAATTTTTTAAAGAACAAAAATTGCTTATTTGTTCAAAAATGATAGATATTTAGTGTTTTGTATAAAATATCTCAAATCTCATACAAAAAAAGATATAATCACACGATATGTAGATATTTTATGTTAAAAAGATTTATACAGATAACGCATGAAATATAATTTGACTCGAGAAACAAAACACAAATAATAACAATAATAAGTTTAATGCGAAAAATACATACAGAAAAAAACAAAAGCCTATACTTAAGAGTCAGAGAAAAGGATCGTCAAAAAGATTTCTAATAAACTAAAGTGGGGTATAAAGTGCTCAACATTTATATATATTGTTCAGTATTTGTAATATACTGTATATTTATTGTGAAGAGCATTGATCTATAAATCAAATATAAAAGTTAAAAAGGGAAACTTAAAAACAAGTATTTTTATTATATAATAACACTATTATTATTTAAAATTTTTGTTGCGAAATGTATGTTAAAATTTTTTTTAGTTGAAAAGGTCTATCATTTATTATAAATAATAATGTGGTGTAAATTGAATTATTATCTCTAATTAATAACTAGTTTAGTTTTTGTGATTTTTGGTGCAAATATAATTTATATTAATTATAATTAAGAGAAAAGAAATTTATTGTTTTAATCAAAATATATTTTAACCTAAAATATACAAAAAATAAAATAGAAATAATCAATTTAATAATCACAGAATTTTATTATAAATGTTTTTTTTTAATTATATCTGATATAAACTTATTATTTATTAGTTTCTTACGTATACTGTAATTATCAAAAAACATTAATTTTAAGTTTAATTACCAAAACTATTGTTTCTTAAAATATATCTCTTAACAAATAGAGATAATTTTCACACATTATATCACGTTTACAAACAACGATCAATAATATAATGCATATTCTTTGGGCACATTTACACTTTAGATTCTTGAGCACATTATATCTTATCGACAAAACACTTTGCTATTAAATACATGCATGATTTGACTGCTAATTGAGGTAATTTTGGTCTTCATTAACTATTACCATGTTATTGGTAACGTATAACGAGTATAAAATCCCTCTAATATACGGGTATCGTTAGAACTAATGCTTAAAAATGATAAAATAGTTGTGTATTTCACGTCTCGCTTCTCACGAGAATTTCCTTAAATATTTTCCTAAAAAATTTTCCGTATATTTAAAGAGTTATATAAAATACAACAAAAATCAATAATCGTCTCAAACGGCGAGTTAAACACTTTTTAAGGCAGAAAATTCTCGCTTTATATGTCATTTATAAGATGGTAAACATGTCACTCAATATGTCAGGGGATTATAACATGATAATAATAAGCAAAAATTCTTGTCAAAAAACACGAATAATACCTGGATTATATTGCCGTCACATTCCTGGGCCTGATGCTGACACGTATAGGTAAGCCTCGGGTGTTGTGTTGAATTGGACACGAATGTCATCTTTGCGTTACCAAACGGCACCAAATTAATGGTTAGTATCTGCGGTTCGGCGCCTTTCAGGGCGTTATACACCGGATATAACTGGTTGTTAACAAAACGCTTGCTGTCCGGACACAGTGACTCAATATATACGCCCACTTCTATATTCTGGGCCCGAGCGGCCTCTAAAATGCACATGGTAGATATTTGTTGTAGATTATGGTTAATTTTAGTTAATAATTATAATACCTGTGAATTTATTTAAAGCGAGTGTCGCCACGAATATTGACAATAATATCATTATTTATGTTAATTAACAACTATTCAAAACAAATGATAAACTATGCGACAAAACAAACTCTTAAAACTTAAAAATTTGCACAAAAATATTTAACGATTAGTTTTTATACACTTTTTCAATGCCTGTCTACCAGTTGTTTGTATTCACAGATATACTATCATATATTAAATAAATATAAAATTTTATATTAAAATATATGAGAATTTTATTTATCACAAACACAAGACCCTCGATATGAAAGTACAGTAACTTATATGAGCGCCAATATATTCACGTCTACTGTAATCGCATTTAAAGCCGATTCTGTTATCGTTGGAGAAAAAAAAACTTTTTCAAACACAAGCGATAAGAGGAGCCATAAAAACATGTCTACGTCTGGGAAAGTCATTAGATGCAGAGCCGCCGTATTTATTGAACCAAACAAACCGTTAACGGTAGAGCAGGTGCTCGTCGACTGTCCGCAAGCGGATGAAGTGCGGGTCAAACTGTACGCGTCGGGCGTTTGCCGGTCTGACGCCTCGTCTATATGGGGCAAAAGGGGCGACTGTTTTGTGCCGTACGGTAAGCCTATGATCAATGGGCACGAGGGGTCCGGTGTGGTCGAGTCGGTGGGCGAACAAGTGACTGATGTTGAGGTCGGCGATCACGTGGTGCTGCTTTGGTTACCGCAATGCAATCAATGCGTTAAATGCAAGAATCCGACCACAAATACCTGTATGGTTGCGCTCAGTAGAGGTATATTTGATTGTTTCTAATGATTTGCGATTGCATTCAATTGAAAATTTCACTTTGAATTAAGTACGAAATTAGTTTGTTTTATTATGTCAACTATTATCAAGATCTATTTTTTGACATTTAATTATTAATATAATAATAACACAGAATTACAAACTAATGATCAGAAAAATAAATAGTAAAATCAATATCACAATTAATCTACTTGAAGAGTATGAGTCCATTCATAACTAAACAAGGTTTGAATCAAAATAACATAATGTAATTTCTTAAATAACATAATCGTTAAGTTATTTAACGAGAACACTAATAACTAAACACTTTTACTTTACTACTAAAACACCCATAATTTAAACTAGATTTATCCAGATATCACTAATTATAAACAGTAATAAATACATATGAATTAATTTTTAATTACTCCAACTATTGTAAATAAATACTGTACAAGGATTGCATGACATTTGCATAACTGAACACATAATCATTATTAATGAATCATTAAAACAACATTACATGACAAAAATGTGACACAAAAATTATTTTTAAAGGCGACTGCGAAGAGGGATGGCTACCGGCCGATGGGATCAGTCGTTTTCATTTGGTTGCCGACGGGCGCCCAGTGTTGACGCCGTCGACCAATTGCAACCTGGCCACTTTTGCCGAGTACTGTATCGCCAAACAGTCGATGGTTGTCAAGATTGACAAAACACTGCCTCTGGATGTGATGTCGGTGTTTGGCTGTGCGCTGCCCACGGGATACGGGGCGGCGGCCAATGTGGCCAAAGTGCACGCCGGCAGCACTTGCGCCGTATGGGGTTTGGGCGCAGTCGGTATGGCTGTGGTGTTGGGCTGTAAACTGATGGGCGCTAATGTAATCATTGGTATAGACATCAACAGTGATAAGTACGAAACGGCCAAACAGTTTGGTTGCAATCAATTCATTAACCCTTTGGACACAACAGAGTCGGCAGACGTTGTCATCAAATCTATATTTAGTAATTCATTGTTTTTTGGTATTCATTAGTCGTACAAATGAATTAGTTTTTGAATTGTTATTGAATTTTATTTATTCATTAATTATTTGCCAACAGAAGAAGGAGTTGACTATACATTTGACTGCATTGGAAACCAATCGGTGATAGAGGCGGCCATCAGGTCGTTGTGTCCGTCGGGCACTTTCGTGGCCGTCGGTCTCCTTCAGCCGCAACACACGTATACACTGCCAGTAATGAGACTATTGGATGGCCTGACACTCACCGGCGGTCTGTTTGGCAATTATAAGGGAAAGGATGGCGTTATTATGTTAACCAATAAATATAAAACTGATAGTAATTTTAGGCGTTTAGTGGATCAGTTTGTAAGCCGACGCATTGACCTAGGTCAGATTAACGAGGCATTTGAATCTCTTAAGCGTAGTGACAATATTATTAGAAATGTTATTATTTACTAGTGTTAATTATTTACTAATAACATAATGGTAATTTCTATTTCTTAGATCTGTTTAAACTTTAAACAATGTGAATCTCTACTTTTTTCACTGCTTATCAATTTATCTATTCATACGATTTTCTAATATATTGGGTCGTTTGACAATGTTCAGGCCTAACTGATTTCTAGTGTAGCTAAAATTATGATAATGGTATCATAATTTAAGTTAACATTCTTAGGCACTAGAAACCAAGTTTCATTAAGATTGGTTGA